GATAGAAGAAAAATAAATAGATATAGATAGATAAGGATGATGGAAGGAAGGAAGGAAGGAAGGAAGGAAGGAAGGAAGGAAGGAAGGAAGGAAGGAAGGAAGGACGGGCAGAACACTTGGCTCACATGCTCCAATCAAGGAAATACCACACACGGCAGGCCCTGAGCTCCAGGGTTGGGCCAGATGACCTCTGAGGTCCCTCCCAACAAGTTCAGGCAGCGGAGGCCAGTGGGGCTAATTCGTCAGCAGAGGTGCTCTGGCTTCTCCCGCGGCTAGACACAAAAGTTGTTCCATCTGCCACAGTGCAAATCACCAGCCGTGATGACTCCTGGACCTCCCTTGAAGACTGCCTCTCTCCCAGCGGGCTCCACTTCTTTCTGTATTTGAGGCAGCCCTGGTTCTCCCTTCGTGCTGCCAACGTTTCCAATCTGCCTGCAAAAAAACGTTTGCCCCTTCTCTGCATGGGGCTGGAGGTAGAAAGCGGGTTGGCTAGATGATCTCTAAGGTCCCCTCCCTTCTACCCTATGACGCTATGATGTAGACCCTCTATGATGTGGCTCTATGAAAACAGAGGCCACATCAAATGCCACAGGGGGGTGCTTTGCAGGCAGTGATGCTCGCTCTGAGCACCTTTTGACCTCGCTTTGACCCGAGTGCTACTAATGCAAGATCTCAGCTTTCGTTTGCACTTCTGACATTTTAAAAATGGGTTTTCCCTCAGCTGGACGATCCTCTGGAGTTATGTATGAATGGGGGCCTAGGAGGAGCGTGAAGGAGGAAGTCCCCTGGGTCCCAATAGACAGCCCGGTCCTTAAAAAAAGAGGGCGAAGATAGCTTAATGCACCTCCATGCTTAGAAGCAGTCTACCTTTGTGTACAGGTTTCTTAGCAGCAAGCAGTTGGCCCCTGGAGGCCTTTTTTCTGCTTCCCTTAAAATCAACGCAGCCCTAAACCACTCTCGGGCTGGAAAAACTTAAAAATGACCGAAGAATCGGGAGGCCTCATGTACTTTGAAAGCTGCGCCTCGCCTTGCTCATCGGTACGGCTTCTCAAATACGGACAACCCCTAACTCCCTCTCCGGGATGAAACGTTTGATCCGACCTTGGAGGGTCCTTGACGGAGAAAATTGGCCAGCCCACCAGGACTCCCTCTGGGCTCCACGGTTTTCCTTTTTGGATTCAGAGCAAGGGGGTGGCGGTGGAAGGACAGGGCATTTCCCACAACGCTTCGGGGGGAGCAGGTTGCAAGATCCGAACGCGGCTGGGGCCGGCTGACATTTGGGGACGACGCCAATCCTGCCTTTTGTCCCTCTGCAACACCATTTCTCAAGTCTATTTTTTAGTTTTTAAATTTCAGAGGCGTCTCCTTCTGGGGGAGCGGAAACTCTCTTTGACCTTCAGGATTTAGCCAGTAGAATTTTTCCCCCCCTAACCATTGGAGAGATGTTTATTTGTCATTTTATCGCTGGGCTGGCCAGCTAAAAAAAGTAGGGCTTTTGAACGGAAGTGGGGATCTGCTCGATCTAAGGGCGGCTGGACAAGACGGGGCACTGATCCGCCGAGAGGACGGAGGCTGAAAAGCAGAGTTAAACCGTAAGTGATTTCCTTTTTCCAGGTGCAGGGAGGACAAGCAGCTTTTAATTGTGCCTCGCTGGCGGTGAATTGATGCCAAAAGAAGCCCAGGGCCCTCTCTTTGTCCAAATCAGTGGGATCATGGCCGGGGTGGGGGGAGAAAAGATTTGGAAAACTTCTTCTTGTAGCTTTTGCAAAGCTAAAGGTTCAAACGTAAGAGGGAGTGGGGGATAGGGTGTAAAAGAAGGATTTCCAAGAACCTGATTTCTTAATGCTCTTGGGAGAATGCGGGAGATATTTAAAGCTGGGTGCTAAAAAGATTACGAGTCTGTTGAGAATTACCAGAAAAACACCCCTCCCTCCCTCCCTCCCTCCCTCCCTCCTTCCTTCCTTCCCTCCCTCCTTCCCTCCCTCCCTTCTTCCTTCTTTCCCTCTCTTTCCTTCCTTCCTTCCCTCTTCCCCTCCTTCCTTCCCTCCCTTCTTCCTCCTTTCCCTCTTTCCC